AACAATGCGATGCAACCAGATATTCCACAAGAGCCGCCAGCCATGCGCTCAGTCTACACACACACACACACACACACACACACACACACACACACACACACACACACACACACACACACACACACACACACACACACACACACACCAAACAAGCCCACACATTTCATTTATTTATATCGAAGGACACAAACAATGCGATGCAATCAGATATTCCACAAGAGCCGCCAGCCATGCGCTCAGTCTACACACACACACACACACACACACAAACATGCACGCACACGGAGGATAATTAGAAAGCGGCGCTATTCCTGAACAGGTGAGTAACAGCATGACGTTTAGGCTCGGAGTAAATCGTCCAGCTGTATAAAGTCTAGAGAGGACATCCGGTTTAAACACACACACACACACACACACACACACACACACACACACACACACACACACACACACACACACACACACACACACACACACCCAGAGGCAAGTGTATATATATATTTCTCCTAATTCATTTGTCCTGTTGGCCTCCTGTCATAGGAAAGTATGTATGAATGATAATAACTTCATTTCAAGCTTCTTATCTACCGAGACGTCTCTTGGGAGTTTCACAAGTACATCAGCAGTTATTAATGAATGTGAAATAAGACTTTTCCTCGTGTCTCGGGCCATTTATATCCGTGGAAGTCCTCAGGTCACTGCTCCTGTCCCATCTCTCCGATCCCACAGCTGGATTCAGGAAAAGTTTTCCCAGAAGCCTTAACGTTCCAGACAGGATTACATACGTTCTCACTAACAGTATTCTATCGTCCTTTAATCCAACTTTCGTCTGAGCGCAGTGTCACAGCCTTTGATGTGTTAACACGCGGTATTAGATTATTATTTGGTCCAAAAAATACATGAGGGGTCAGATCCGGGTAACGGCGTCTGATGTGTATGTCTGGGTAATCTGTGCGGACTGATGTGGGTGAAAGGTCACGAGCGCTTTAAGCAAACATGGGGCTTGGTTACATCTGGCAGCCATTCCTGGAAAAAATGACTAAGTGCTTGAATTTGTGAAATAAAAGTATAATAAACTTGGAAGAATCGGAAAACTCCATTAAGTCTAAGAGAAGGACGACCAGTTCTCATTATCAGAGGAAAATGGCTTTATTCATTCTGCTGGTTGAGAGTGAAACTGGAGACGTCTGATTGAAAGACAGCGGCTGATTTAAAGCTGGATGGAGGACAGAGGAAAGGATCTATCGAGCAATTTGTGCACCAAGTAGACTAAACTACTTCTGAATGTTGTCAGCAGGTCCGCATCAGGAAGTTAGATCGCTCCCTTGTCCTAACCTGCCCGGGTCGGGGCTAACACGTGTCCGCTGACTTCACATGCTTTAAATACAGATACCAAACAAAACATAAGCACATAAGCCTGCAAACATTGATCGGTACGGTACATATCTTTTTGATTTGGTGCACATGTATGCACTGTTGTTCTCCAGACAGATGATCAATGTGGGAGAGTCTAATTTCCTCTGAGAGGAGACACTGTTTTCTTAAAAAACAAAGACAGAGGGTTGGAAGCGCCATTCCTTTTTAATTAATGAAGTACTCCCAAAACAAGACTGATTGCAGATGTTTAAAAAATAGTCTCATATGTTGGTTACTGTTGGGATGGCAATCATTTCACATTATGTCAACAAAGGCAAAACATTACATGTCACTTGATAGACGCCTTTATCCAAAGGGACTTACACACATTCAGTACTGTGGGAAATCCCCACAGGAGCAATTTGGGGTGAGGTGTCTCAGGGACACAACAACATGCTGACTGCAGTTGGGTTTGAACCTGTGACCCCCTGATCCCAACACCAACGCTCAACCCACTGCACCACACGCCTCCCTGTCAAATGCAAAAAAACAATTGGTTTGACCAACACGTTGTAACCACAGCTTTATTTAGCTTCTTGCTTTTAGACCATTTTCTAAACACTGACCCTAGCAACAAAGGTTTATTGACGATGATTAATCTTTTCTGCATATTTGAACAGTTTTCGGTCGTATTATTTGATTTTGAGTGTTATGATGGATTCCAAGAAAACAAAATACCAAAGCAAAAGACTTTGAAACAAGTTTGTATTTATATATCTTATTAAGTTATTGTAAAAACACCCTCATGTTTCTGTAACGGCTCACTAAAGCTTCAAAGTGATGTTGATGTTTTGCTGAAAATAGTCCCCAACAGATGCACTTTTTACCTATTGTCAATTGATGCTTGATACAGTTCACATTTGTTTTAGGTAAAAGAAACTTTAAACTATATGTGCATGTATTTCTATGTACAGTATAACCCTGTAGGCTGAAGGAGTGTCCAGAATAGGGTAATAAAGGGAGTAAAGTAAAAGAGTATTGATAGATGGAAAATAGTTGGTTGGGTTCTTTTTATGAGGTTTGCTGAACATGCAAAATCTTAGCAGCAGTCTTTTCTTTAAAGCAGGGGTGTCAAACTCAATTTCATCACGGGCCACATCAGCATCATGGTTGCACTCAAAGGGTCGGTTGTAACTTTAAGACTATATACATATACATAATATATATAAAATAATGTATTATATTACATTATTGCCTCTGCATTGGATTATTATCGGATAGGGTAATAACTTCATAATTAACTACGTCTGAAAGCAGAAAGGTCAAACCATTGCAAGTTGCTTTCAGTGTGCATGTCACAAAATGATTTAAAAAGAAAAAGCCAAATTCTGGAAAAACTAAAAAAAATAAGTGAAATTTTGGAAAAAAAGTAACATTTAAAAAAAAAAGTCTAATTTGAGATGCATTGTGGGACATGTAGTTTATGGGCAATGTGCTTCTGTAAAGCGGCATGTAACCGTATAATAAACATATTCTATTCTTTGCAAGCTCTTGTGGGGCCACATGAAATGAAGTCGCGGGCCGGATTTGGCCCCCGGGCCTTGAGTTTGACACCCCTGCTTTAAAGTATAAGTCTAGTATTAACTTGTAGCCGTGTATGGAAGATGGAAGATCAAAAAGCGTCTGCTAAGCGAGATTCAGACAGACAGGAAGACCCGGAGCAGCAGAGGGAACTGAAGACAGATGGAGGGGCTCCAACCTGCACTCTGCATGCTCACTTTGACCTACTTTGCTCTCTGCGTCTCAAACTCTTTGCGATCCCCTTTCATGTAGCACAAGGAACCAATAAGTCTGAAGAAGGACTCCCAGCAGACACCAGCGCTGATTCCTATCTTTTCCTCCCCGTTTTGTCCATCAGAGCTGAGCATATCCCTGTCACAGCACTTTGTCTTTCATCTCCTATGTGACAATCTAACAATCTACTGTTTTAATAAGTGCTACATTCAGTTTGGCGCCACTGCAGAGAACCTCATAAGAGTTTCTGCCACAAAGGAATCCGTCATTATTAGCCTGTATTATGACTGAAACGTCGTATTGCTGAAGTGGTTTCAGCATGACGTCATTGCGAAGTGCTTTTAACGAGATTTAACTGCAAGATGACCACGAGAGACTTTTTGTTCTCTGAATGACTGTCTCCATGTTGCCATCCTTGCCCGAGAGATAGGATCTGCAAGAGACATGTGTGCTCTTGTGTTATTGTTAACATATGTCCTGTGACGTCTTATTTGTTTGTGCTTTGTCCTGAAGATGACATACAGATGTGTTAATATGTTTATTTCTAGAGTGAATATTTGCAGTGGTGCAATGTAATGTACTTAAAGAGGGCCTATTCTTTTTGTTCGTGCTTTTACTGTAGTGTGTTATATAGCATTATTTTAATAATCTAAAATTGGCTCCACATTGACGAAGTAAGGATCGATGTGTTTGTAAGAGATACAAATTAAATGATATAATATTCTATAAGGATGATAAGAGCTTTTTAGTTTTAAACTGAAATATATTTCACCACATTTTCCTAATTTTCTTAAAACTTGTATTCCAAAGAGTATTTTTTTTTTCTTTTGAAGCCATATTTTTGGACATTTTTTACACATTTTCCAGAGATTTTTCACACGTTTTTTGACTTGACGTTATTTTGTATTTGAGTATTTTAAAAGCAAAGTCATTCTACTTTTACTTAACTCAAAAATCTGAGTCCTTCTTCCACATTTGAATATTTCTCTTGGGGGGGATTTTCTTTCTTTTTTCTTGCTCATATCCATGAAAATAGAAGCAGCCACTGTTTAACTCCTGATTAAAGTACTGGAACATGCTTGAGGTACTTATTAACTAAACACATAGCAGTCATTCAAATCCTGTTGCTAAATTCCTCCGGGAAGAAACAATCTGGATTTGTTTTGCAGTCTATTTTTAGTAGGTTTAATAGTAAAAAGCCTGAAATCACATTCTCTGACATGTTGCTACTAACTCCCATATTGTTCTTTTCAAGTCCTGATTAAGCCTGCTACTTAGAAACACTCCTCTTTGTGAGTCAATTGTTGATTCACTTGGAACAATCAAACTGTCAGGATGTGTTTTAATGTCCACTGAGTCATATGAAATACTCCTCCATTCCTCCCTGTGTTGTGAACATGAGACAGAAAGCACTGCCTCAGTTAGTACGATATGACAGGAATTATGCCTTCCACATAAAGAAGGAAAATTCTCAACTATGCACCAAAAATCTGGTTTCATTTTATTCTGCGCCAGATGTTCTCCGAGGAAATGAATCACAGTTTTATCATTTAATCAATCAAATGTTGAAGCGGTCACCAGCAGCTAACCGAGGGTTCTTCTCTCCGCAGACTACAGGACGGGGCCATGTTTCACCCAGGTGAACAACCAGATGTGCCAGGGCCAGCTCAGCGGGATCGTCTGCACCAAAACCCTCTGCTGCGCCACCATTGGTCGAGCCTGGGGCCACCCCTGCGAGCAGTGCCCCGCCCAGCCACACCCCTGCAGGAGGGGCTTCATCCCCAACATCCGCAGCGGAGCGTGCCAAGGTCAGATCAGAGAACTGTGTAGCACTCAACATGTTTGGCTAATTTGAAGCTAATGTACCTCCAGGATACTTACTGACCTTCTACAATTAGTCGAATGATTCAAATAATTAACTAATGACGATAGCTGCAGTCACGTTTACATTTATTTTCTATTTTCTGGCTTATTTTTAAGCTAATGTTTTATCAGGGTTTTGCTAGTTATGGAGAGGGAACATAGCTAAAAAGATCTCTACCAGACTGTCAAAATGTTCATTTCTGATTTAAAGTTGGGCTTTTTAACATGTAAGTCAATAAGGAGTGACTCCCATTGAGCGTGCCTCATGTGGCCAATCAAGGAACTGCATTTTGTAGCCCGTCAGGTTTCTGATTGGTCCAAATTACATTACATTAAATGTCATTTAGAAGACACTTTTATTCAAAGCAACTTACATACACTTGACTACATTGTCAACATGCCTTCAGGAGTGATATGGGTTCAAGTATCTTCCCCAAGGACCCTTTGACACTATTGGCCCCCTTAGCCACAGTCAACAACCAGTTCTGTACAAAAAACAGAATAAAACCAAACCTTATTCTCTAATAGCTCTCATTCGGTGCAAACAACCGCCAACACCAAATTCCCTGTCTTCCAACTATTTTGTATTTTAGTATTTAGTATTTAGTATGTTGACCTGGCAGATCTTCTTCTTAACAGCGATGAAAGAGGACGCACAGACTTTTCTTAAATGCATACACACAACATCTCCACGATAAAGAGTTCAACCATTACTTTATCTTTCATCATCTCAGCTGCAGTTCCTCCCCACAACACCCTCGAGGTAGTGTTAACAACACGGCGGGTGTGTACATGTAGGACGGAGAGAAGCTTGTGTTTCCTCTTAAGGTCTTATTCAGCATATGCTGTGGACATACATCTCCATATCCCTGTAAACATTGCACAGCTGTTCCCTCAATCACAGACCCATTTTAAGGGGGGGGGGAGATAGCAGGTCAACAGTAGATGTCACAGAATTGGTGTACATTATCTGAAAGCTTTTCGTTTCATTTTCAGGTTATAAATATGTAATAATTATAGTTTTTAGGGCTTAGAACATTATGATGGAAGTATATGATGGATATCAATTATTACTACGATTATTGGGTTGATTCCTTGATTTTGTAAACATGTGTTACATAGAAACAATTTATTCTAAAATACTTAATTTAGGATTTATGAACTTACGGACCACCTTAGAAAAACCCATGCTGTCATCTGATTAAAAAACTTGACATATTGAGATAATTTTTTAGCAATTGTAAGGAGATCACTTCTCTCAAAACTGCCCCAAAAGCCCCCTTATTATACATTTGAGTGCCCTTGGTAATTATCATAACATGTCTGTAAAGTGAAGACTCTCAGGTATTTTCATCAAGATAACTTGAGGTGAGAGGTTGAGGGCCCCTGCGAAATTGGCTTTTCAAGTGAGTCTTGCCCTAACTGAAGATCAGCATAACTCAGGAGTGTTATTTAGCCGCATTCCCGACAAAGCTAGCAGCACATAGTTGGCGCTAATAGACACCTTATGTAGTTTCATAAGATACTAGGAATGTAGCTTTAAAACTGAGCCTGTTACAGCCTCTGAAAAACAAACGCTGCAGTAGCTGAGTTTAAGATGTTAAATCAGGATGGGGCCAACACAGTGCTTGCTTCATGTCAGCCAATGATATCAGAGTAATGGCAGATGACTAAAAGGCATGCATTAGGAACATTATTTTATAAACCTTATTCACTCACAACAACAACATGGCTGCAAAAGAGTGATACATGGAGATTATAAGAGAGACTCTGAGATAAATATGAACTTGGATTCACCTCCTTTCATCAACATTCCTGCCGCTGGTGTCCCAGACTGCCTCTGCATGTCTCTCTAATAACCTATGGCCCTGACCAGACTAAGCAATAAGACCGCATCAATATATGACATGTGTGGAAGTCGTGTCCCTCGTTAAACTGAACCCCGCTGGGCTCTCCTCGCCGGACACACCCAGCAGCGCCCTGGGCCGTCTGTGATGGTGGAGGCACTTTGTTTTTCTACTGCCACACTTCAACAGTATCATACCTTGATGTGTTTATGATGGGAAATTATATGGGATTATCTGAACTGTTGTTTACATTCGCCAAGAAAGTTATGGTGGCCTCATAGCACTACTTGTTATTAGCAGATGTGTTGACAGGGTGTACAAAGACCTGTTCCTAGTATGTGAATATTTGAGCACATCTGCCATTAGTCCTGCGATTCAAATAATGACCAAATTAAATTTAAATAAACAAGTCAGTCCTGGATGTGTAATGAGGGAGATGTGGCCCTCTGTGCAGATCTGTACGATCTCATCTGATCAAAGCTCACATTTGTAGAAAAACAAATGGATAAAAATATTTCAGTAGTTTCTGATTTGTTTTAGTTCAGGAATGTTTTCCCATGGTTCCTAAAACTTGGGAGAACTTTTCTCTGAAGCTCAAAGGCTTGAAAATGAATGTTCTCTGCGTTTCCGTCTAGGTTTTTTTTTATTACTTAAATAAAAATGTATAAATGAATGTGACATCCCTCCAGCGTAAACAAGCCGATAGCTTAGGTTGTCCGCAAAGGAAAACATTTATATTACTAAATTATGCATTACAGGGTTGAGGTTATCCAGCAGGACACCAGACGGACCAAACAAAACCATGCATTATTATGCTGTCAGCTATCCAGCATTGATTAAAATCCAACACTCCACCTTGTACAGACGTTAGATAAATGTAAGAACATTGTGATGATAATGCTTCACTTTCAACCTTTACTTCTTTACAAATTATTTCGGGGCAATAAGTCTGTTCAATCACATCTGGGATCAGTAACTGGTTTGTATTTAGCTCCACTACTCAGTGGCTCATAATCCTCTGCTCTGACTTTCTTTCTCCCCTTCTTCCTCTCTCTGAATCTCTGTTTCTATGTTTCTCCCCTTTCAGTTTCTTTCTTTCACACACACATTAAAAAATGTAATCGCCAGAGAGCCTGGAGCAACGTCTCTCTGGCAGAGGTACAAAGCACACCTGACCACAAACCAAATGTCCAGGCTCCAAATCAGGACTTTGGCTGGAAGATGCTTTCGTTCTTTCGTTTTTCTCCCTTTAGCCTTTTGGCAGAGAGCGTTTTAAACACTAGACTTCTTAAAGAAAAGCAAAGATTGATTGATTTACAATGCCAGGGTCCTGCTCAGTGACCCACTGTGTATGTGGTATGCGTTTTCCAGGGAAGAAAGGATCAGAGATATGTTCCTTACAGTAACCCACCCTATGTCATATCCCCAATAATTGGGAAAATGACTCACATTGAAAGCTGGGAAAAACCTACATTTAAAAACTCATTTCCTGGTCAAACAAGAGCAGGAGTGGGAATTTATAGAAGTGGAATTAGACATCACAGACAGCGCCAAGTACTACTGCTCACCTTTACTTCATTCCCTTCACAAAGATATACAAAAGAAGAATGTAAACCAGTTTTTTAAAGACTGAAAGCGTGCCAGAAACATAATATCTTTTAAAGAATGTCTGAAGTTAGTCTGAGCTCTTTTTTCGTAGTCTTTGGCGTATTACCAAAATACTTTAGGTTGCTGCTCCAATGGTTTACAGATGCCAGTTATTATTATCACATTTAAAGCTTATGCCTCTTCTTACAAATGTCCTTTCCTTCCTTTTCTTAGATGTGGACGAGTGCCAGGCTGTGCCAAATCTTTGTGCCGGAGGAACTTGCATCAACACCGTGGGATCCTACGAGTGTAAATGTCCCGCAGGCCACCGTCAGAGTGAAACCAGCCACAAGTGTGAAGGTAAGTCTCAGCTAGAAAAGACTTTACCCATTTAACTACATTAAGGACATTGGAAGTAGACATTTTTGTCACACTCAAGTTAACCACATTCCAGTACAACAAGACGGAAAACAAATCTCTAGCCAGGTTAGCTTTGTTAGCCATTATTAGCTTAAACCAGTTGCTTGTGGTTCACACACATACACCGCAACAACATCTCTACACATAACACTTGGCATGCTGTGTGTACGACAGATTTATTGTGACATAAATAAGGCAGAAGTCTTATTAAACACGATATTACTGTGACTACCCGATCCGCATCCCTACCCGATCCGCATTGCGCATGTGCGAGATGGTCGCCATATTGGACAACTCCATACGGCAACCCAAATACATGGAGTTGTCCAATATGTCGGACCATTTCGCACATGCGCAATGCGGATCGGGTAGGGATGTGGATCGGGTAGGGATGTGGATCGGGTAGTCACAATTACTACAGCTTTCAAAATGTATATGCGCTTGGCGGCCATCTTAGATTTTGGTGATGTTCTCCTCACTTTTCCGAGGTGGGAATACGGCTTCAGGAGGGATTCCAGTTAACATTTCCTACTGGCAATCGGCACATCCCGACTTCCAAGGACAAACTGAACACACTAAAAGCTATAACAAAATGGATCAGCTCTGCATATCCCTGGTCAATAAAAAAAATATTGGCGGCCATCTTTGATGAGCTATACCATTATTGTCTCATTTCTAAAAAGATGATAAGTGACAGGGGAATAGTTTAATTAATATAAAGATAGATAACGCAGGGCAGTGTGAGGGTCTACCACACAGATCTTACAAGTAAGCCAATCAAGTGTTAGGGCTAACACTAACGTCTCTACTAAACATAGTAAAACATAATTAAAAAAGCCTTCACATTGTTTTAAAAGTCAAATGTTTAATTGTTTACATAAGAAATGCTACCTAAATTGTTGATATCAAGCTAAGATAACTTAGCTAATGTTAGCATTTCGAAGCTACAGCCTTCATATAACTGAGATATCCACTTATGACACTAAACTGACTTTCTTTTTTGATTTAACAATGAACCAAGTATCACAAAATGGTTAAACTCGACTTGAATGCAGGCTACATGAGTCTATAAACTTATCACCATCTGAATAACAATCCAGTGGAACTTTTATTAGGTTTTGTTGAAGTGAGACATGGTCGCTGCATTTTATTACAACTCTAAGGGTTCTGCAGGGATCCGTTTATAAATCTCTACGGGGAGTTTGAAAAATGACGACACGTTCAGAGTTAAAGAAGTTTGGCAACACGGACAGCAACATGGAGGATTCACATTACAATGTGTTGATTGGCTGGAATTTAAACAATGCCCAGGCTAAACAGTGCGATCGTTAGCCAGGCAGGGGTTGTGTCCGTTGGACTGAAGCCGATATGTTCTTAGTCTTTAGAGAGGATTAGACAAAGCTCTTAAACTGTTTCAGCCAGATGACATCTCCTCTACTGAACAAGAACCGAGGCCAAACTGGATATCGTAGTGTATGGCTTATTATCTGAATTCTCCTGGCATGGCTGCACCACATACAGAAAGAATAACTAGCGTGTCCACTTCAGATTCATGGGAAGCAATTATCGTGACACACCAAAAACTGATTTATGGATGACTTCACTAAGTAGTCCCAGTTTCAGTTGTGGTTTTGGGTAAATGTGAGGAGAGAGTGGGTGTTTTAAAGAGATGCTGAGCACCGAAAAGAAGAGAATTTGGGTGTGTAGCCACATTCCAGCACTAAGGAGGTCGAGCTGTTTGACTGCAAGGACACATTGAGACAAGGTAGAAATAAAGCAGGAGTTTAGGATTAGGAAGTTCTTCCCCTTCATGGTCATTTTTTTGCGTAAATTACACACACTCAGCATCTTTCCAACGCTTTAGACCCTTTACTCAGTTGTCCCCTTTCCATTATACACAGTACAGGAGCTAAACATTAGGCCTGAAGGTCATTTAACGTTTCCCAAAACCAATAATGAGACCCATCATTTTAATTAATCTAAAAAAACACAGCAAACCACAATGGCATTCAGAGATGGTGCATTAAAGTGATCTTTGGAAAGTCCCATTTTCAGAGTTGTGAAGTTGTTATAACGACTTCAATGAGTTTATGAGCTTTATCCTGTAATGACGAAACCAAGTCCTACAGACTGAGCTACTGCAGCTTTCAAATGAACAAGTTTAACCTAAAGAAAAGTCTGAAAATTATAAATATCGTATATACAGTTTCCCAAAACCAATGATGAGACCCGATATTCAACTTTGTCTGAAAAACACAGATAACTATGATGTTGCAGTCAAGTGCTCTTAGCCCCGTTTCCAGAATTGGGAAGTCGTTCTTCCGACTTCGATGATTTTATGAGGTTTATGTCGTAGAGCGGCAACAAAATGAACAGTTTAAAGCAGATGTGTTGTATTAAGAGAGCTGCTCAGAAAGTTTATAAAACATGTTAATATTTGTTTCTGAATTAATGGGGGATGTTTATGAGAATTTTTCCACTCAGGACCCCATGTTATGATTATAACAATATTAAGTGATAGCAGCACAAATGCCCTTCTTTCAATGTTAAAGTGGACCCATCATGCTATATTTGAAAACTATATTGTAGAGCCATACCTATATAAAACATGTCTGTGAAGTTTTTTTTTCAAAATACCAAACAGTTCCCCCATTGTAGCCATGCCTCATACTGCTCATACCCCTCTTTTGCAGCCCTGTTAGAGAAAAGTGGATTTTGGGTCCTTAGCTTAAAAAAAAAAAAAGGAGGCGGAGCTAATGCCTGATCAGAATTCTACCGGAGATAAAGTTAAATTCTGCTGTGATAAAACGCCATCCTGTTCTAAACCACATCAAGGATTATTTCTGAAACAGTATGGAGCTCAAATGCTTTTTCTCTTGCGGGTTTATCACAAGGTGAGTTCCTTTTTTTATTTCCTGCTTTTTAAACACATTGTGCTCTCCAGTACAGGTTAGCTCTGAGTGTTAGCGAGGCTTGCTAATGTAAACAAAGACGAGATTACGTCCAAAACACGTCAGGCATTGTTTCTGATAGCAACTTTTCTGTGGGTCCGCCGCCCGCTATGACGTCACAGCGGATGGAAATCTGTATCCGCTCGTTGTACACCCGTTTTTAAAAGATTTGGGTACGGAGGAAAAGAGAGAGGGTTTTATTTTCTGACGCTGCGTGAATTCCCCGACGCACCGGGGACACATATGTATACAAGACATCACAAAGTGCATTTTGCATGATAGGTCCCCTTTAATGAAGGTGATGCATGTTTCGTGTATCCGCCCTGTAATTCAGTTCAGATCCGCTCCAAAATCGAATGGGTTCTTAATTGCTACATCCTTCTACCATTAATCAAGAAAATCAGGCTTTTAGTTTTTCCATAATAATGCTTACACAGAAAGGCAAAATTAGAGAAAACATAACTTTCTTAGTCCAAAAATAAGACAAAAGCAATAAATCCTCACATTTTGGAAAGCAAAAGTTTGAATTGGCAAACCGCTATTTCATTATTCAATTCAGCAAATGGATCATAAAAAGAATGATATGCATCAATACGTTTGTTATATCTGGAAACATGTTCATTATTCTTTTCTATTCGCAGTTGCAAAGGAACTGATGTTAGCTAGTTGATCTGTTTATTTTTAAATGTGTCTTGCAACTTCGTCATTTGACCCATGCAGAGCGGGTAAAGAAAGAGTTCAGTGTTGGAAAGCTCGTAAAAACAAAAGGGCCGTTTTGAGGCGTTTGTGAGGTCATGGATCGGCAGGAAACCAATGTTTAGTGAAATCTGGGAAACAATCAGAGCAGGTCCTTAGGGGAAGCTTTATTGAAATGCTCCTAGCTAATGCACCAACAAGCCCCACTTAAAGCTTTCACAGTGAAATGACTGGGGTTTAAAGCTGTTGGGATGAAGGGCAGTTAAGATGTCATGGGTGTCTGACTGTTTCGGGGCGCAACAAGGCAGCTGGTTTTACGGCCTGCTTTTAGCCCGGCTCTTTAACAATCTCTCCTTTTCACCCCCCCGACTCCGACTCCGACTCTTTCTGCGGCTTCTTCCATTTTCCCTTCCATAAATACAGTCCTCTGGCTCAGAACCAGCTGTTTGTGCTGGACAAAGAAACACTTACGACACCTGGGAGACTTTCTCATTACACACCTCCCCGTTGCTTTGACCCTCGCAGACTCTCACGCACTTACGCTAAACACACGCACACACACACACACACACACACACACACACACACACACACACACACACACACACACACATTAGGTAATCAGGATACAAAAAGGTAACAGTTTTCCCTTACAGTTACATCAAAAAAGACGTGATCGATTACTGGTACATTTTTAAGAAATGGGGATTATTAGTAGGATTACAATGTTCCAATACACTTTCAAACAAACAAAGAACGATACGATGAATATGCTTACACATTACAACTCTTACAGTCTTACAGTATAGACTGAAACGAGTCGTGAGTGAAACGTCTCAAATGTTGTATTGGTGCCAATTTCTCCATTATTTTGTCTCCAATTGGAAGAAGAAAACAACATTAGCATTCAGTGTAAGCATTGCCTTCCAGGTGTAATATACTGTATATATAACAATACAATATACTGTCATAATCCAAGGAGTCCACATCTAATGTAAGCAGCATTAAGATGTAAATGCTTTGGGAATATACGCATTTAAAGGGAAAATACTGTTTTCTAGTCCAATACTTCAAACAGTTGGCTACTTTCTATCCTTCGTACTTGTACAAATATTTTTTTCTTTTAATGCAGTAGGTAAACACCTGATTTCTTAAAGAAGCTCCAGTTATGCTTGTTGTGGTTTTCCCTTTCCGGTAGTGTATTAAACTGTATAGGTTTTTGTGCATGTCTGCAAAGGTTAAAATCTCAAAAATCCCTCCAGAGAGAGTGTGAGAAAATAAAGACCCTTCTGA